CCAGAGGAGACTGGGGAAGAGCTTGTTAACTCCTCTTTTCAGAAAAGTGTGAAACAACAGGGATGAAATCACGGGATAGAATAAAATTTATTGACTTCATCTCAGGATGTCATACAGATAAGTCAGGATGGGAAACCTAAACACGAAGAACCCTTGCAACATCAAAAGCTCTTGGGAATTTTTAAATAATGTATAAGCTAATGAATATGCATGTAACACCAGCAATGTAACTGTATATAAAGAACATGATTTTAAGTGTTTTTTTGTGCTCTTTGGCCGTTCATCAAAAGCATCCCAGCGCTGGAAATATTGTCCTTCTTTTACCCTATTATTATTAAACTTTTAAAAATTCTAAGGAGTGAACTCTGTTTTTCACAATTTGGAGGTTCCATCGAGATATACCTCAAGTCTCTGTGGCTCCAGGGGTCCCAGGGAGGAGGTGCCCCACTTAAAATTACAGTGGCCTGACCTGGCTTTTCCTGTAGCTATGAGAGACTGCAGGTTAACCCTCAGTCGATAGGATAAAAAGGACAAAACAAGAAAGGGGAGTAAAACTCCATAAGAAACTGTGGCAAATCCTAAACCGGTGAATGAAAAAACTACATGGGTGAGTATATCGCAAAAAAAAAAAAATCATGAAAAATCTGGGAGTGTGTGTGCATGTGTGTAAGACACGGATGGGACAGTGTGGAGTCTTTCTAACCGTGTTTCCGTCTCCCCATAAGGGGCCCAGCCGGTGATGAGATGAACGAATGTTGGAGACTGAGTGATAGTCTGGAACGGGGAGGATTAGATACCTTGGGGCTAAAACAGGGATTAAGGAAACAAAGGGGACTAGATGTCATGGTTTAGGGCAAATTTGGGAGAAAACCTCCAGAAGGAGCCCTCAGAAAGCAAACCCCAAGGCCCTTCCCCCCACCTAGTTTGAGAAGAATTTCCTAAGAAAGAAGTAGAAAAAAACCTGTTTATTGAACAGGCAAAGCACTCCCCAGCACAAAAAAATTAGCAATACCAGATGACAAAACTCTTTCATCTCTCTGAAGAGATGACAAGTTCAGAAAGTCTCTCCTGGGAGTGGTCGCTCCGTTACCAGTCCCTCCGGTGCTGAGAATGGATGCTGCAGGCCACAAAGTGCAAAAATCTCAGTGTTTTCCCAGGTCCCAGTCCGGAGCAGGTTTGAATGGTTCCAGGAAAAGGGAAAGAAAGACAGTCCAGGGAAAATTCAGACTGCCTCGCTAAACTAACTAACAAGCAAAAAGCAAAAGCAAGCACAAGCAGGAGCAAGAGCAAAGGCAAAAAGCAAAAGCAGCACTATGTACTGCGCCGTCTGTGTTCAGCAGACCGTGGGGGAGTGAGCAGGCTGATAACAAAACAAAACTTTGCTTTTCAGAGCCAGTCTTGAAGGCACAGAACATAATATCCAGCATAAACAGAACAGACGACTGGGGATACAAGCTTCATAACATCATCCTAGGACATTAGAATTGCCTGTAATCTAGACTGCAGGAATCCTAATTCCAAGGTACTGCTACGCTGACTCATATCTGACTTCCTGTAGGAATCTCGGCTATATTGAGGGCTGGGTTGTCGCTGTCGAGGCAGGATGGGAATGAAGAGACTCTGACCAGATCAGAAGGCTGTAATAGTAAAACTCCGATTTATTCAAAATACACTGCTCTTTTATACAGAGCTTCGTGAGGACCAAATCCATTGGTTCTGAAGTGAAAACAACCCACACCATTGGTGCAAAGTGCTTGACGCACAGTGATAGAACTTAGCTATAAATAATGTGAAAAACAAGAGAGATAAAGAATTATTTACATTCTTCTCCAGCTCTTTCCCAGGCTTTTTGCCTGGCTAGAAACTCTTAGTTTCTTTCTTTGACTGAATCTGAAACCCACATTTCCCCCTTTTTGTTTAAAGAAGGAGGCGGTGTTTGTCAGAACACCTTGCAAAGAAGAGGACAAACGCGACTCCGAGGTTCACTAGTTGATAATTCAAAACCCCGATTGGATGTTGGCTCAGAACAGTCAAAGAGATTTTGACTTACACTATAACTCTTTACAAACTCAACTATTAAATCTAAAACTCCATCACCAACACCAAAACATTGTTAGTCTGCTTGTAACACAGGCAGTCTAACTCATCACCAGTCCATGTCCAAAAGCAAAGTGAATCAAATGTTCATTTTCCCCTTGTGGAGGGGCCGGCTGACTGATGGTCGGTGTCTTGATCATCATCCGAAGATTGTGATGGATGGTCAGCACCATGGTCACCGCTCACAGGCTTTCTGTTGACCACATTCTGTTTCTGCTGTCTCAAGTCAGGGTGAACACACTTTGCAGGTATCCATCGTACCCTGGTACCTATGGAGACACATGCATACCCGCGGCCCCAAGTAATGAGGTCGCACGGACCCTCCCACCTATTGGTGACAAGGTCCCGCACCCAGACCTTCACTCGGTGCAGGTGCGTCTCACCTGCTGAATGCAGTGAGAGAAAATGATTCAAAATAACAGGAATCTCTGAATTCTTTGGCACAGTTAAATGGTTGATTGTATACAAAGCTTTCTTCAACTGACGGTGTGGAGTCTCTCCTGGCACTCCCCCTTTTTGTTTCTCCAGAACACGCTTTAAAGTGCCATGTGCGCGTTCAACAATGGTTTGAGCTGTTGGTGAATGCGCAGTGCCGAACTTGTGTGAGACTCCCCACAGGCGCAAAAACTGACGTACCTTCTGTGAGGCATAGGCAGGGCCATTGTCAGTCTTTACGCATGAAGGTATCCCCAGAACTGCAAAAGCCATCCTCCAATGAGTAATCGCGTTGCAACTCTTCTCCCCCGTGTGAACAGTTGCCCACATGGCGGAGGAGAAGGTGTCGACAGACACATGCACATACTTGAGTCGACCGAACTTGGCAATGTGTGTAACATCTGTTTGCCAGAGCTGCAAGGCCTTCAGGCCTCTTGGGTTCACCCCCGCCGGTAAAGGTGCAGCAAACCCATGACAGTCAGCACAAGAGCTGACAATGTCACGAGCCTTGGTTGCTGTCAAATCAAACTGTTTTTGCAAAGTATGTGCACTTTGGTGAAAAAAGTCGTGCGATGCCTTGGCTTCTGCAGTTCTATCAGGCTGAGGTGCCACCCATGCAGGGTTAGCCAACCTATCAGCCCTGGCGTTACCTTCAGTTATAAAACCTGGTAAAGTGGTGTGACTCCGAATGTGCAGGATGTAGTACGGATGAACCCGGTCCTGAATTGCACACCACAATCCTCTCAGCAATTGAAACAAGATGGCACTGTTGACCTCCTTCAGCAGTGAGCAATCTAACTGCTTAGTTACGTCTGCAACATAAGCAGAGTCAGTGACCAAATTCAAAGGCACCTGAGAGAACCTCTGAAACGCCATAGCAACAGCTTTCAGCTCAACCAACTGGGCTGAGCCGGACACATGGCCTTCCAGCACTTGCCATCCAGACTCATCCTTCCAGGTCACAATGGCGTTTCCCGTTTTCCCTGAACCGTCAGTGAAGACAGTGGGTCCCCAAACTGGCACTTGACTATTTTTTGGTCGCAAGAATAGATTGATTGTCTTTGCCATTTGCAACAATTTGCGACTGGGCAGATGGTAAACAATTTGCCCCAAAAAAATTTGCAGCGCACATTGCAAAGGAACATTCTTGATGAGACACCACTCAAAGGTGTCCCGTTCCATTGGAAGAATGATCCTCGCAGGATCGGCTGCCATCAATTGCAAACACCGATAACGGCATTTGATTATCAGCTGGGCAACCAAATCAATCAGCAAAGACACTGTCTTTTTTAGTTGATGGGGTAAAAAAAACCCACTCTAAGATGTGCAAAGGATCAGGCCATTTTTCATTCCACTGGCCAATGATACCCGTGGGATGACTGTCTGGATAGGTAATAAAAACAGTGATATCAATGGAAGGGTCTACTCGGTAAACCTGGCAAGTAGACAGAGCCTTTTGAACCTCCTCCAGTGCTTGCTGTGCTTTAGGAGTCAATTTCCGAGGCAAACTCAGGTCTGGGTCCCCCTGTAAAAGTTTGAACAGCGGGGACAGCTGCGCTGTGGTCAGCCCCAGATAGGGACGGAACCAATTGAGGACCCCAAGCAATCTCTGGGCATCATTCAGGGTTGCAATAGACTCTGGAAATTGCACCTTCTGATGTTGAATGGTTCGCTCAAGAATCTTGAGCCCCAAATACTTCCAAGGAGGTCGGCTCTGAACCTTTTCCGGAGCCACTTGCAGTCCATAAGAATGCAAGGCGGAGAACAACTGAGGCCGAACGCTCTGCAGTTCCTCCCGAGTGGGAGCCGACACCAGAATGTCATCCATGTAGTGATAACAATACACATCAGGGAACTGCTCGCGGACTCCGGACCAGGCCTGGGCCACATACCATTGACAAATGGTTGGACTGTTCTTGCAGCCCTGTGGCAAAACTTTCCATTGATATCTCCGTACAGACTGATCATTGTTGACAGAAGGCACAGTAAAAGCAAATTTTGGTCTGTTATCAGGACGCAGAGGGATCGTGAAAAAACAATCTTTCAAATCAATGATCAAGATGTCCCAACCTGCAGGGAGCATGGTAGGCGAGGGCATACCAGGCTGCAATGCCCCCATGCTTTCCATGACTGCATTGACTTTTCGGAGGTCCTGTAACAACCTCCATTTCCCCGACTTCTTCTTGATTACAAAAACAGGTGTGTTCCAGGGACTGGTAGAAGACTCAATGTGTCCCTGGCTAAGCTGATCCTGAACTAACTCATGAAGGGTGACTAATTTCTCAAATGGCAGGGGCCACTGGTTCTCCCAGATGGGTCTGGTCACCAACCACCGTAAAGGCAGTGTAGGGTAATCTGTGCCCTTCAACACAGTGACCCCCGTCAAAACTCCGTCCCTATGCGCACACCCCAGGCTGCCAGCACATCCCGCCCCCAAAGAGTGACCGGAGCTGCAGTAACATAGGGCCGAACCTTAGCTGTCTGCCCTTCCGTGTTTTTGATCAACACAGCCTGCCGGCTCACAAATGTCTGTGCTGCACCCCCCAAGCCTTCAATGGCCTCTCCCACAGAGTCCAAAGGCCACTTAGGAGGCCACACAGAGGCGGAGACGACTGTCACGTCGGCCCCGGTGTCGATCAAACCTTGCAGCTGGATCCGAGACGGGCTGGCACCTGGCAAAACCACGGAGCACATCATCTGTGGGCGATTGGAAGAAATGAGCGCGGACCAGAGGACTTGTGGCAATCCCATGGATCCGGAGCCACCATCTCCACGCATCTGTTGATCTGCCCTGGGAACACACGACTGGAAAGGCACAAGTTGAGCAATGCAGGTTCCTGCCAGAATAACGACAGGAGGGGAGGGTGTGCAAACCATAGCACAAATCTGGCCCATAAAATCAGAATCAATGACACCCGGGTGCACAAAGACTCCCAGAAGGGTAGTGTTAGACCGCCCCATCAACAATGCACCCAATCCATGACCTAAAGTCCCAAATGCATTCAGAGGTACCCTGTGCACCTCAGTAGAATCTAAGACGACTGCTGCTGCGGTGTGTACATCCACCCCGGCAGAGCCATGGGTACCTGTGTCAAGTTGACTGGGGCACCCTGCACTGGTGCTGTGCTCTGGGGGATCACTTGTGTCAGCGCGCAGTTCCCCTGTGCGCTCCTGCCCCCGTTTCCCAAGCCTGTCAAACGCTTACCATTAGCATGGTAAGTAGACTTGCATTTCTTCGCAAAATGACATGGCTTACCACACCTGGAGCACAGAAAATTAGAGTCTGACCCCTTCTTGACTTTTGTCCCCTGCACCTGCTTGCCCTTCTTCTTCCCCTTCTTGCGCCGACCAGTCCCTGAGGACGACAGGCCTGCCTGCAAAGATGCTGCCAGAACAGACATTTTATGGTCCACTGTACCAACCTTGGAACAAGCCTCGACCGTGTCTGTCAATGATGGATCGCCCGGCAATGCATCTATAATTTTCCTACAATCCTCATTTGCGTTGTCCCTTGCCAAAGTTTTGCACAAAACCTGCCTCAAAGTCTCATCCTCAATCTGCTTCTCCAAAGCAGCTGCAAGCCTCTCAACAAATGGCAGGAACAACTCTTTGGCCCCCTGTGCTATCTTTACATATCATTGCCCGTGAGCAGCTGTCTCCATGGTCTTGAGCAATGCCGCAAAGCCTATCTTCTGGGCCTGCTCAAGTACGATGTGGTGCCAAGTAGCCTGAAAATCAGGACTGGCAAAGTTATTGAGTCCCATGAGTGCGTCCACCCCCACACAGCACCTAGGGTCTGTCTGAGGATAGTGTTGATTCTCAGCTGCAACCCTGTCGGCCATCCTCCTCCAGTTGCTCATCAAAAGATCCATCTGCACAGGTTGGAACAACACAGAGGCCAGATGTTTGATATCATAGGGAGCCAGCAGGTCAGTGTTCATCACTCTGAGGACCTGCATCAATGGGGCAGAACCCAGCCCATGTTTTGCCACCTTGTCCTGCAAATCCTGTACAACCTCCCAAGCTATAACTTCGTGCTTGTCCTGTTGTCCTGAATTTGGGACAGCCTTGTGCACAGGAAAGGCTTGAAGCTTACGTCGCACTGAAGCACCGTTACCCCCACCCCCTTGTGCTCCCCCTGGGGAGGACAGAGCAATCAACTGGCTGCTAGGCACGGTCTCAGCCTCCTTGAGAGGCGGGTTCAAAACCACAGCACCAGGCTTTCCCACCCGCTCTAACAAATCCCAATCACACGCTTCCATAGCGCTTTGCCTGACCGCATCCCAGAAGCGACGGGGATTTATCGGTCGCACAGACACCTGACAGGGAGGCAGCATCCACAGATCTCTCTGGGTTGCTCGCTGCCCTTGTTGGTGTTGGCGTACCGACAGACAGTCAGGCCCCCGTGACAGAATCAAGATCAAATCATCGCTGTCACTACCTGCCTCCTGTGACAGGGGTGTGTGGGACAGTCTGCGATCCATAGGGGAGGGTGGGCTGACGGGAGACACCGAGGCTGGGGAAGCGGCTATCGACCGCGAAGCTGAAGAACTTGGCACGGCCCACGAGCCAACAGCTCCCGAACCAGGAGGGCCAGCCGCCGGTGACGGGGTGGGGACTGGAACCATCACCGGCTGCTCGGTGGATCCTTTCATCACAGATGGCAATATGAAAGCATCAGCAGGAGCTTGCAACACCGTGGATGTGATGTGCATTGAAGCTGAAGTCATCGGAGGTAGGAACGGCACTGGCTGCTGGGGTGCAGCAGGCATCACAGGCACTGAAGCAACAGCGGGCGGGGCAGGAGGCAGAACTGCCACCGCCGAAGTAGCAGGTGGGGCGAGAGGCAGAGGTGCTGCCGTTGAGACAGCGGGGGGGGGGGGGGGGGGGGCAGGAGCCAGAGGCACCGCTGGAGCCACTGAAGCAGCGGGCATGGCGAAAGGCAAAACCGCTCCAGCCGAGGGCGCGGCGGGCAGGGTGTCAGGCCCCATCGCTGGGAGCGCCGGCACCACAGCAGGCGTGGCGTGGAAAGCAGGCACCGCCTCCAGCGCTGGCGTCAGTCCCGGGGCAGGGAGGGCCGAAAATGACACCGAAGTGCCCCCCATAACATGCTGTTGAACCATTGACGCTGGCACCGTGAAAGAAATCAAGTCAGTCCCAGCACATGTCGCGCAGCGGGACGTTACGGGAATCAGCTGCGCTGGCCCCGCCAGTAGAACCGGAGCCCCCGCGGGAAGCGGGAGTTGTGCCAGGTAGTGAACGAAAGGCTGCATCCTTGGCCCCAGCAGTAGATGGGGGCAAGGCCCATACATCTGCACAGTTTCCATAGCTGATAATGAAGGAGTCAGGGGGGCCACTGCCCCCGCAGCACCTGGCGCCGCGGGCCGCACCACCCCTCCCCCCAGCTGCAGACTGGAGAGGGGCCCCAACAAGGGCTGAACCAGCTGAGCCGTCTGGTCAACCGATGGACAGGGTCCAGGCTGTCACGGTGAAGATGGAACAGCCCCCAACAGGCTGTGCAAAGGCGGGTGGGCCAAGCCCGAGAGCTGCAACGATGGCACTCCCAGCACCTCCTGAAAAGCAGGTGCTGGCACTCGCACCGTGCCCAAGGCAGACTGTGCCTGTTCAGCCAGCCGGGGTATAGTCTGCTGTGCAATCTGCGGCTGATTGGCTGGCAAAAATTTCCCAAGCTGAGTATAGCCATGGGGTTGGGGAGTGCTGGGACCAGCAGGAGTCCCCGGCGACACGCGAGACACCACTAGACACAGAAGCGGCCTCATCGCTCCCGGAGAGAACACTCTCAGAGTCCATGCTCCCTGGGGCTCCCTCCCGCAGGGGCATATACGCGCGCCCCCAGACCGAAAACAGTGTGGATGCCTCCTCGTCCTCCTTGTGCATCTGCTTCATGAGGCACTGCCCCAAATCGCGCCAGAGCTTTCGATCAAAGGCCCGCCCAATGTCTGCAGAGAATCCATGATCCTGAGCCCAGATTAAGAGCCATATCAGTTCCTCCTCAGAGACCCGAGCCCCCATCTGCGGGATAGAGACTTTCCAGGTGGACAAGACCGTCCGATCAGCTGCAGACGCCTGATTCCCCATTGCTATGAGATCTCCCATCAGCGAATGTCCACTTTTAGAGACAAGACAGTCCTCTCCTCCAGGGACACCCCGTCCTGCACAGTCCCGGCTTTTAAAAGCCGAACCGCGGTCACAATAGGACCAAGCCTTCTACAGAAGGCGTGGACTTCTAGCATTACCTTTCTTAAGAAGGCAAAGGTGTCTGTTCATAGCCACAGGCTGGTGGCACGGTGCCGCGCCGCTGAGACCCCCCCGCAAGACGCTGAGGTTCAGGTCGCCAGCCCAGGCTGTAGATTCATGAGGGGTCGCCAGATGTCGCTGTCGAGGCAGGATGGGAATGAAGAGACTCTGACCAGGTCAGAAGGCTGTAATAGTAAAACTCCGATTTATTCAAAATACACTGCTCTTTTATACAGAGCTTCGTGAGGACCAAATCCATTGGTTCTGAAGTGAAAACAACCCACACCATTGGTGCAAAGTGCTTGACACACAGTGATAGAACTTAGCTATAAACAATGTGAAAAACAAGAGAGATAAAGAATTATTTACATTCTTCTCCAGCTCTTTCCCAAGCTTTTTGCCTGGCTAGAAACTCTTAGTTTCTTTCTTTGACTGAATCTGAAACACACACTGGGTTGGTACAGAGTGCAAAAAGATGAAATGCAGAAAATCTGAAGCCCCAATATACCCTTGAGGCATGAATTGTTAGGCTGATGGAAGTGTTAAGCTGCTGAGCTGAAGACATTGAAGAAGCTGATTAGGTCCACTTGATAGCAAAGCAAATGTGAAAGCTTTGTAGTGGGGCCTTTTAAAGTTTGTCTATGTGTTGTTACATGGCTGGGGTTTTATAAGTATTTGGGTAGTGGGAGAAAGGGTTTAAGATGGGGAATCTTAGAAGGGTTTAAGAGGATTTTTGGGAAGTAGGACACTGTGTAACTAATAAGCATTTGCGAAGGAATATTAGAACATAACAAGAAGAGTACCTTATTATGTAAATGTGTGTGAGGTGTATGTGTATGTCTCATTTTGTGTGACTGACAAGTATAACTGCTGGATGAATGAGATGTACTATTAGTATGAGGTGAAAGAGGAGCCTGGATTTGCAGTTCCATTCTCCGGGCGACCAGGGCAGCTGGAGAAAGGAGAAGCACTTGTTGTATTGTTTTATAATAAAATTTTTGTGTGTTTTGTGAGTGCAGTTTTGTGTTTGAGTTGTGGACCTGGGTGTGAGCCTTGGGTCTTGTGTGAGTGTAAAACCTCTCATAAGAGGTAGGTAGTACTGTACTGCCTCTCACAGGAGTGCCTGGTGTCGGGAGTGTTGTAGGGTGGAATTAGGAACCAGATTTCAGGCAATAAATTTCCTAATTTCTGCAGGGCACGAAGAAGTAGGCAGCCCAAAGTTAGGAAAAGCCTGGAGGGAAGCAGAAGCTGAATCACGACAGGCAGAGATCATTAAACACCTTTAAAATAACAGAAGTAAAAAACTGGGACCCCTTAGATTTTCTCCTTCCTCCATATCCATCAGTACCCAATGCACCCCCCTCCACACCTGGATGGACCCAGCTAGAATACATGGGGAAGAGTAGCCCAGTGGGAAGAGTTGAAAAAAGAGGACCAAGCAATATCACTATACTCCCACCGGGAAGCTCCATTGAGAGGGGCACTGTGACACGGGGTTAGGAATTAGAAGGGTACTGACTAGAAATAGATATTAAGATGATATATTGCTTAGTATTTGCTGCATTTTTCTGTGCTAACTGCCTGTAAAGGGAAGACAAGGTGTATGTGGAAGACAGGGTGTACGTGCGAGCACAACATGAAAGAATACAAGGATGTGTGATAAGGGAAGCATGATGGTCACCAAAACAGGACAAAATTAAAAGGCTATCAAGACACAAAGCTCCTTGGACCCCCGAACCAGATTAGACCAATCTCATGGTTTGGACTGTGACCAAAGGATCAGTAAGCATGCACAAGAAGATGGGATGAGACGGTCAACTTTGATGAAGACCATTTACTTCATCCCATGCAACCCCCAATATGATCAGTGCGCTGGTGCAAGGGGCTGATAAGTTAATTAGCATATGAAGTGGGACAAGGTGGAGCCAGGAAATTAATATGCATAAATGTATTGCAGAACCTAATGTATATGTAACATTTTAGAGGATAAAATGAATGCTGAGAGCAGGTAGATGTGCATGCCTTTGCGGAAGTATCCCACGTGCGTCTGGCCGAAAAAATACATACTTTATAACTCACTTTGAGTTTTAGAGTCTTTCTGCGAATCAGTACAAGGGGGAATTGGGTTTGTAACTGTCCCACTTAATTCCTCTGATGTAGGGCCCTTTAAAAACAAATTAAAAGGCCTACTAGAAGATCCTATTGGATTAGCAGTGTTACAGTGAGCTCATGGGCACCCTGTGCCCCCCCTTCCCTGGGACCTTGTGACTCTGATCAAGATAACCCCTGGACCCTCCTTTCTACCCCTACGGGGTTGGCAGAGAGCCAGGAAAGCCCACCCTGTCCAAAGCCTATATAGACCCCTGACATTTCCTGTTTGCTCTCTTTTGCCCCGCTCTCCACATGGACAACACAGAATAATGAGAGCTGAACCAACTTATATTGGGGTAAGAGCCTCTTTTGAATATCTTTCCCTTCTCCTGATATTCCTCCCCTCACAGCCCCTTATCTCTGAGCTAGTCGGATTATTCGGGGGGCTGCGTGAGGGGGGGAACCACAGTTGGCGCCCAACATGTGCTGCCGTTAAGCCCACGCAGAAGCTGGAGCCCTTATTTCAAAAGATCTCGAATAGCTTTTGGGACAGTCAACTGCCCTAGTACTCTAGCTGGCTTTAAAGGCTTTGAGTGACAGGGAAAAGTTGGGGACCTTGCCTGAGTACCCCAGGCAAGCCGGATGGAGAGGGACCCCAGACGAATTCACACAGGAACCCCGCAGTTCACAGGCTTGGTGAGTCCTTCGTTCACGTCACCCAGGACCGTGCCTGGCTGGGAGGAGTTACTATAAGTGACTGAGGGGGCTGCTTGCGAGAGGGGGTGCTAGGGACTAGGGACCATCTGCAAGACAGCGTGGAAACGGTGGGCTGAGAGTACCCACGTTCCCCCGGGGGGGGAAAGTGACAGGAGGGAGCTCTGGCAAGTGGCGGGACGAGCTCCCTTCTCCCCCCCGCCCCGCACCCGGATTTCCGTGTTACGGAGGGAAATTCAATTAATTCGTGCTGTGTTATAAGTCTGGTGGAGAATAGACCAGCGATACGATTAAAATAATGGGTACAAAACTGTCGCTGGAACAAAAGAGCACACTAAAACACCTTAGCAATATCTTGAACAATGTATTGTTCTCAAATAAGCTCCTCCTGCATTTTGTATGCTGGCTAACAGCAGAAATACCAAATTTCACTGTGCAAGAACTGAATTCACTTCTTTTTTGAGACCAAATTGGACAAGTATTAACTTTAAAAGTCGAAAATGGTGAACATAAAGCTTCTCTATTTATTCAGATTTTTTTACAAGCATGAAAAAAGATTTTGGAATCAGAAAAAAGCAAACAAACACAGAATCACAGTCCGAATACTCTGTTTTCCCTAACCTGCCCACCTCCTCAGTATCCCAGTCCTGAAACCCCTTCACCCACCCATTATCCCCTTCTAACACCTGGTCTTACCGAGAAATATAGTCCGGAGTTCTCTTCAGAGAGAATTGCAGCGTCTCTGAAACACACGCGGAGGGATCATGGCGGCGACCATGTGCTCCGACCTGATCCCTGACCCCCCCCACCCCCTCCCCCTCACATTCCTTTCCTTCCCCCACCCTCCAACCCCTCTTCCACCCTCTTCTCCAATGACTTCTTATCTCCCACCGCTCCCCCACACCCTCCTTATCAGTGCCAGCCCCCACGTTGCCCCGGGAACAGGGGCGGGGCCGGCCCCTGCACAGCTCCCAGCCTTGGCGCTGAGGATGGGGCGGGGGGAGGTCAGGGTGGGGGGAGGTCAGGGCAGCCCAGCAACTCACAGCATGGGCGGGGCCCGAGTTTGCACGGAGGCGCAGCAACCCAGGGACAGGGGGTGCAAGCTGCCTCTCACCGGGACTGAAGGGGTGGTGGGGAGGCATAACCCTGCCTCTACCAGCATTAGAGATGAATCTATACCATCTGTAGCACCGGTTGCTCATTTAGGAAGAGGAAATGGTAACAGAACATATCAACCACTACCATATAGAGACAAAACTGAAATCTCTAAAGTTCAGAGAGAATTTGGGAGGTCCAGTGAGATTTTTAAAGGGATGATAAGGGCAACATTCAATTCAAATGAAATGGTACCTAGAGATATCACTGATTTGTTTAAATGTTTACTAACACCTTCTGAATATGAGATATGGGAAAATAAGTGGAAGTTAGCTTTGACAGCAGTCTTACAAGAAATACAACATACACCCAGTGAAGCCCTTGAAAGTGATGGCAATGCTATTACAATACACCATTTATACGGTCCAGGAGACATACAATGCCCAGAAAAACAAACCAGACTGTTGTGTAGGTCGGTTTTGGAAAAAATCTGTAATGCTGCAGAAAAGACTTTGTTTCAATTACCAGGAATTGAGGTTAAATGCAGCTATATCAACATTAAACAGTTTCCTTCTGAGAGTTTCCTACAGTTGGTGGACCGTTTGAGAAGCCAAGTTGCAAAAAAAGTGCAAGACACCAGGGTACAAACAGAGTTGATTAAAGAAAAGGCTCAGAGGAATGCCAATGAGACCTGTCGTAGGATTATTCTCAGTCTTCCTCTCGATCTAGCACCTAGTCTCGCTCAGATGGTTGATACCTGCGCTAGGAGAGCAGAGCTGCTCGATACCCCTGACAGTCATACAACATCTGCAGAAATACAGCCTGCTGCCACTGCTGAATCAAGCCCAAGGAAGCAACATAGGTCATCACAACACCTGCAGCACATCATCTGCCTACGTTGCAAGAAACCAGGACACTTAGCCAGAAGCTGTCCTCAAAACCAGGACAAGAGACAGATCAACAAACAAAAAAACTGAGTGTACAGCGCGTCCTCACAGCGAAAAGAACTATGCGCAAAGACATAAATATAGTGGGACGCACACGGGACAATGCCTCCCTCTTAACAAATAAGAGGGAGGGTGGGAATCATGGGGGGGGGGGAGAGAAAAATAAAAATGTAAAATGTATAACTAACAAGGTTTGGCAGCCGCTAGGCCGACCTCGCCTAGTGACTGCCAAAGGATTTAGTTTCAGATCCACTGATTGGAAAGTTATTGTAGTGGACCTGCCAAACAGCTCACAAGACCTGCAGGCATACGATATGGAACTGAACAGTGAGTATTTTGTTATTGGGGACACAGCATACACACCTCCAGAGACTGAAATAGTTCCCATTGCTACTAAGGGAAAAATATCCAGCCTTATGCTGTTGGCACACTGTTTACACCCACCCTTCTATCTAGAAAAGGGGCAAATTCTGGCACAAGCCATTCCCATCCCAGTGGAAATAACAGCGGAAGGAAAATCACCAGAAGTCTACTGGGCAGAGGTAGTAGGAGAGGATAAACCCTCCATGACATGAAACCTAGCACATGGATCAGAGCACCTCCAGGTGGAAGGGGTTCAGGACACAGGTGCAGACATCACAGTGATACCTAAAACCATGTGGCCATCACACTGGGAATTGCAACCTGTGGCAGGCCAACTTCAGGGTATAGGAGGAACCACATTGGCAAAAATTTCAAAAAATGTAGTGCAAATTGAGGGACCTGATAAGAAATCGGCAAGTGTTCGCCCATTTGTGGCAGACTATAAAGCTCCTCTGTGGAGGAGAGATACCATGTCCCAGTGCGGAGTCCAGTTAATCATTCCTAAGACACCCCAGGAGTTTCGGAAGTAGCCACTGTAGAGCGCCCTGCCCCCAAGTTAAAGTGGTTGGATAACACCCCAAAGTGGGTAGCACAGTGGCCTTTGAGTAGTGAGAAACTTGAGGCGCTTTATAAACTTGTAGAGGAGCAGGTAGCTCAAGGACACCTGCAAGAAACAGACAGCCCTTGGATTTTCCCAGTCTTTGTAATAAAGAAACCTGGGAAGGACAAGTGGAGATTGCTCCATGATCTCAGAGAGATAAACAAAATTGTGGAGGACATGGGACCTCTCCAACCGGTGATGCCTAGTCCAGCTATGCTTCCCCAGGACTGGAAATTAGCTGTATTAGATATAAAGGACTGTTTCTTCCAGATTCCATTGCACCCTGAAGATGCCCCGAGGTTTGCATTCTCAGTTTCTACCATCAATCGGGAAGCCCCGATGAAACGCTACCACTGGAAAGTTTTGCCCCAAGGTTTAAAATCCAGTCCTTTCATATGCCAACAGTATGTAGCAGCACTACTGTCTCCAGTACGTGCAGAGAGAAAGGATGCCATCATCCTTCACTACATGGATGATATGCTTGTGTGTGCTCCCAATGACTCTATACTCCAATACACGCTTGACCTAGTGGTTAAAGTTTTAACCTCTGTTGGATTTCAATTGCAGGAAAACAAAGTTCAAAGAATGCCACCTTGGAGATACCTGGGCCTGGAAATTTCTGCACGGACTATTGTCCCACAGAAATTGGAGATTAATTGCAACCCCAGAACATTAGCAGACCTCCACTCGCTGTGTGGGTCTTTATATTGGGTAAGGCCCTGGCTAGGCCTCACAAATGAGGACCTGGAACCTCTTTTCAATTTATTGAAGGGGGAGAGGGAGCTGGCCTCCCCCAGGGAACTGACTCCAGAGGCAAAGACAGCAATCGAAAAGGTAAAGAAGGCCTTGTCTGAAAGGCAGGCACGTCACTGTCCCCCAAACGTGCCTTTCCAGTTCATTGTTCTAGGAAAGCTGCCACACCTGCACGGGTTGATTTTCCAATGGACCGAGGGGCAGAATGATCCACTCTTAATCATAGAATGGGTTTTCCTATCACTCCAAAGATCCAAAACCATCACTAGGCCACAAGAGCTGATAGCAAAGCTGATTCAGAAGGCCAGGGTGAGGTTGTGCGAATTAGCAGGGTGTGACTTTGCATGTATTCACCTCCCAGTCAGGCTTTCTGAGGAGGGAAGGAACTCTCCTGAGAGACTGACCAAAGGGATGTTTGAGCATTTGCTCCAGAGCAGTGCCAGTCTCCAGCTATCTCTGGACAGCTACAGGGGACAAATATCAGTCCATGCCCCATCTCACAAGTTGTTAAATGAGGAATTCCACCTTATTCCTCAAGAGAAAAGGAGCCGGAGGGCACTCAAGGCTCTCACAGTGTTCACTGATGCCTGTGGGGCTTCCCACAAGTCGGTGATGACTTGGAGAAATCCACAGACTTAGCTTTGGGAAGCTGATGTTGAGCTTGTGGAGGGATCCCCCGAAGTGGCTGAACTGGCTGCAGTGGTGAGATCTTTTGAGAAGTTTTCTGAGCCATTCAACTTGGTGACAGACTCTGCCTATGTGGCAGGTGTAGTGTCCAGGGCGGAGCAGGCTGTGCTCAAAGAAATAGAAAATGAACACCTCTTCAGGTTGCTCTCAAGGCTAATTTATTTAATCTCTCACCAAGAGCATCCATTCTTTGTGATGCATGTGAGGTCACACACTGATTTGCCAGGTGAGATTGCAGAGGGGAATCGCAAAGCAGACTCCCTTGCTGCACCAGTTGAAAAAGCACGTCTCCCTGATGTTTTCCAACAGGCAAAGCTGAGTCACCAGCATTACCATCAGAATGTGCCAGGTCTAATCGGACAGTTTCAGCTAACACGGAGTCAGGCCCGAGCCACTGTGACCAACTGTCCTAATTGCCAGCTCCAGGCCGTGCCATCATTGGGCACGGGGGTAAACCCCAGAGGCCTTAGCACCTGTGAGGTATGGCAGACAGACGTCACACACATTCAGAGTTTTGGTCGCCTTGAATGTGTTCATGTAAGCGTGGACACATTCTCAGGTGCAGTGTATGCCTCTGCTCATATAGGACAAAAGGCTTCACATGTCAAACAGCCCCTAGTGCAAGGATTTTCAGTATTGGGGGTGCCAAAAACGATCAAAACAGATAATGGCCCAGTGTATGTATCCAAGGAGTTTCTGGAATTTCTCCAACAGTGGGGAGTGGAACATAAGACTGGCATTGCCCCCTCCCCCACAGGTCAAGCTGTAGTTGAGCGTGCACACCAGACGCTCAAGCAGGTATTGAAAAAACAAAACAGTTCAGCTCCGTGGATGTCTCCACGAGATAGGCTCTGTAAAGCTATGTTTACCATCAATTTTCTGAACTGTTCATTTGAAAACATGAGTCCACCTGTTGTACGTCACTTTAACAGTGGCAACCAGTTCAAATTGTCTCAGCATCCCCCGGTCTTGATTAGGGATCCAGAAACTGTGGAAACCAAGGGTCCCTATGAACTTGTCACCTGGGGTCGTGGCTATGCATGTGTAGCTACTCCCTCAGGCCCTCAGTGGATTCCCCAGAAGTGGGTGAAACCTTTTGTCTCCAAGAATCCAGGCCAGACAAAAGGGGACAGGAAGCAAGTAGCTGATGCTGCAAAGAGAAGACACCGCCGGATGGAAGAAGAAGAATGCGCCTGACTATGAATTCTTCCGGCAGAAACAGAAACTTTAATATGTTCTTAAAATGTTTGCTTTTCCCTTTTAGAGAAAACCTACCTCCCACTCAACCCTGTGATGAACCCCATGCAAGTTGTCATCCTGCGAATGCTGAAAATAAT